GGAGGTATATACCAACGCACGTCGCCGAAAGTCCAAGCTGTCTTGCAATTTCTCTATTCGAGTGTCCTGCAGCACTGAAAGCTCGAATCCGAGCTTGTTCGTCTTCGTAGAGAGGACTACCACGACGAGGCATGAGTACAGGTTAATGGGGACTAGAGACCATAAAATGGATTGCAGATCTGGAGCCAAACTTTGGACTTCCTCAGGTGTCCACATACTTTTGTTATTAAGAAACTTTTTCAAAACAATAAATAATTGTACAGTAGTTCACAAAGTGCTCAGAAGTAGTGTATTCCTATGTTTTCGCTTATGAGGAATTCAACATATCGCGAAATTTCAAAGGCAATTTTGCAGAACCAAAATTTGAGGTGTCCTTATACTTTTGTTACGCACTGTATTTTAGCTCGCAAATGGAGCAATACGAGCATCAGGTGCGGTCGTCCATTTGTGGGCGGGCGGGCGCGGTGGGCGTTCGGGTCGGTATGTTGTAGCTTGATGGGGCCTGTAAGGGTACCTTCTTGGAAAGGCGCTACGCAGCGCCTGCTCAGGGTCGCGGAATTCCGTCCTGCCAGGCGTATTCAATCCTACTCGTCTGAGAAATTATTGTTCAAACTGCCTTTAAGCTGGATTGACTCAATTGATACATACGCCACCGTTTACATGGCTTCTCCGATTTCACTATCGCAGTGCGCAATTAGGGGCAGCCTACCGGGGGTTGCAATTAACAACGACAAGGAAGCGAATAATGGAGATTTTATCCATGAAAAAAACAAGATGAGGAAGAGAGTCTCATCAGAACTAGAATAAGGAGAAGAGTTCATCCAATTTCATTTTCTCTCAAGCGCATGCCCCACCGGGGTACGCGATATTGAAATGGTCTAACGGGGGGAATTTCAGATGATTTTTTTCTTCATCGTGTCAACATATGAACATTTGTTTAATCCACACATGAATATTAGTCAAGTAATGTGCCTCTAGTCAACGACAACTAACATGCGAGAATTCGACCGAGCGACGACCGTGTGCCACCAACACCATTTGCCATAACACGAAATCTGTCATCAATCGCATCAACCAAATCACATTTCTTCACTGCGTTCATGGAAATGATGGATGTCTGAGCGCCTGAACAAATCATTGTAATTAGAGGAAGCTTCCGAACGCAATGATCTCGATTATAAAGTTACTGTAAACTAGACCGCTGCAGAAAACTGTACCCGCGCGAGCGTTTGGTGCCATCAATTATCACAAATGTCGTGCTAGTAGCACATGTCGCGAAACCAATCTCGAGCTTCATAATAGGGTGATGAATGGAAGGTCTCCTCACTGGTATCCTTTCCAAGACACTGTGAGTAATACACAAAATGCGTAGTTAATGTGTACTATGCCAATGAAGTGGAGCGGAGCACAAGAGGTATTTGAGGTTTACCCATACCCTTCCTTCCTCCTTCAGGTCAAGACAGTAATCTTCCTTCAGACTTACAATCATTTTTCCAACACTGAATGTCCTCTAGCGAGAAATTTCTTAAAAAAAAGTGGCTCATCGGAAAAGCGAACGGAGTCTCCAACATTCCGTTCATCTAAGATACTACCTCCACGAAACTGAGAGTAGAGAGTGAGATCTGCACGGATTGTTGCACTCAAATGCCCTGCTTTGGAGAGAGACCGTTTATAAGATTTTGCCCATCACGTTGATACCATTATCTGGCTTACAGATTTCAGCTGTCACAACCCTTTTCGCCATACTTTCGAGAAATGATCTTCAATCCTGTTGAAGCCCTACAAAGCTTATGTTGTCCCCATACTTGAATATGGTTCGCAAATATGGAGTCCCCACACCAAGAAACTTCAGGCGAAAATTGAAAAGGTCCAGCAAACTTTTACCAGAATTTTGATGTATCGGTGTTATCCCTGACCCTGCATACCCAGGCAGCTTACCCAGTTAAAGGGAACGCTTACATCTTTTTAATCTCAAATCATTAATGTACAGAAGGGTGTTTAATGATATTGTGTTCTGTTTCAAGATATGAAAGGAGAGCTAACTCTCCTTTTGTTCAGGCCGACAAATGGCCGCATTTCTTCGCTGTCTTTGCAATGTCCTAAATTGTATAAAAGGCACCGAGCCCAGGTTTTTAATTCACTATTTTTCCGAGGAGCGAGATGGCTCCAGTCCCTGCCATCAGACCTGCAGAAGGCTGCTATACTACTTTGATGCTTCATTTGTACACTGTGAGATTTTGCTAGCATTCTAGCGCACCTATGCGTGCATGATAAATAAATAAATAAATAAATAGCGCCCTGAACAATCGTAGTGAGGCAGCGTTCAGGCTCCACGATGACTCGCTGCCATTGCAGTGGCACTCCAATGCTGTTAACGCGGTTGCGAGCAGTCTTGGGAAGAGCGGTGAGAGTGATATTTTCTAACTCAGCGTAGCATGAAGCCTGAACAACATTCGCTTGCCTGTGTCAACTAAAGCGAGCATTTCTTCTCCATTTACACGACATCGTAGATACAGCAGCGGAGTTTTTGTAAACGACTCAGGGAAGGCAGTAACAGCTTTCCGAAACCGTCTAAAAAAACACTGATGCAGCATGAGCACCAAAGAAGAACCGAAGTTAACATGGGAGACTCTCAACTGATCGAGCATCTTCCATATTTTAGAGAGCGTTGAGTACTCTTCTAACTTCTCTCTTTTAGGTGGCGTTGAAACCACACCTAGAAAGACCAAACTTCGTTTTTGATTTCCTCAAAATTGAGTGGGAAGTTGCATATTAACTCATCTTCTTCGCGTATAAAACTTTCAAATATGCTCTGTTGGTCATGCGGTATTACAGAGCTGAAGAAAGACTTCTCCTTTTCTTTAAGAGTTAACCTCTCGCCATCCTTTATACCGTGCTCCTCAAATCAAAAAGGAAACTTTATACAGTGTATCGGGAGGCTTGGTGGAGGGGGGGGGAGGCAACAGCTTCGAAAAAAGCCGTATTCGTGAATAGAAAGGCCTGCTGTTTGGGGCAAAGAGAGTGTCCGCAATCACGACCGCCCCCACTCGTGCGATTCATGGTGTAGTAAGAGGCGCATGAAAAGCTGGTGTTCACGTACCTTCAGAGTACGATCGTTGTCAACTGCCATGTCTTTCCCGTCAGTCGCTAAAGTGAAGTCGGATGGAGATCCCGATATACCCCATCTCAAAGTGATCAGTTGTATCAGTGTACTAAGTCTGAGCTCTTCATTCACCTGTAAATATCCTTGGAAGCACATTTAGCTTATCCGAGCGTCGTACGGCGCCCGTGGAACTATAGCAGGCAAGTCTGGCCACCAGCCAACAATTGCCTTCAATCTCTATTTTCACAGCTTTTCTCAATATTTTTGATCAAACTGCGTCATGGGCAAGAACTCCGCAACTTCTTTTCATTGAAATGTAGAAAATGAGTTGCAAAAAGCTTAACATCAGTCATTATCTACCAACATCTGGTCCCTCTTGCTTACTACAGACTTTCAACCGTGAGAGCCTGCACCATATCATTAAGGACCGCAAGCTTCACATTGCTTGTACATGTCAAAGTGTGTGTCGGAGATCACGAATGTTGCCACCGACAGGACGTCCCCATTCTAAGTTGTTGGGTTCCCTCCTTACTTTGCTTCAATTGCGACTGCCACCTCCTAACACGCCACATAGCAGGCAGATTTGCAAAATTTTTCTTTTATTGATGAATTTCTTGATTGTCCCATTTCAGGAGCACTAT